CGTGGATACCGCTAGAGCGGTACAGAACGAAGGGCAGGTAGCGTCCCACCACAGAAAACGAGAGTGACTGGGGGAGACTCAGACATCGCATTTTGACGGATACATCCCCCTAAGGCCAAAAGCTGATGTACAAAATATCATAGCGGCTCGCAAAATTGACATGATGGCCCGTTTTCTATTCGTGGGTCCTCGGTTAGATTAAATTCAGGCTGTTGTTGTTTAAGACTCGCTACCTGGAACAAAAAGTTCCAAGTAGCACGGGCTATGGTGAGCCCGTAGTAGACTTGTAAATTCAGGCAATTTAGTACATCAATTTAGTGACGTTGGAGAACACGGGATGAGAGGACAATATTTGCAGGAAAACGTCAGTAGTGTGTAGGAAAATGGCCCACAGTCCGGGTGTTTTTCAGGAACATGGGCAAGGAACCCTCTCCGAGCGATAAATAATAATTTTAATTATTATATATCGTATATCGAGACCCATTTTTCAGTATGCTGCCCCGCCGCGGAGTCCACAGCTAATGAAGCATAAAATAAAATCAGAAACTATCCATAAATTTGCAAAAAGGTTCATTCCTGAGTTATCTGGACAGAGCTATGAAGAAATACTGGTCTAACTAGACCTATCCACGCTGGAGGAAAGAAAAATTGGATAGTCATGGTACCGACATACAAAATTATGAATAAAAAAACTTGATTGAGTGGACAGAGAAACAATGTTCAAAACTAGAAACAGTGGACTACGTTTTCGACTCCCAACCGAGGGACACAGGTTCAATCCCTGCGAAGGACAGAAACGATTGGGCACGTTTTATTTTACCTGATGGCTCTGCACACCTAGCAATAAATTAGGCTCCCGGGAGTTAGTCAACTGTTGTGGGTAGCATCCTGGGGGACCTCAATAAACCTAAGTACAGACTTCCTATCCCTACCAACGGGAATGATTCTGGTTTTGATATACAGGTGAGGACTACACACGAGCCGCAGAGATCTTGAGGTTATCTTGAGATGATTTCGGGGCTTTTAGTGTCCCCGCGGCCCGATCCTCGACCAGGCCTCCATCCCCAGGAAGCAGCCCGTGACAGCTGACTAACACCCAGGTACCTATTTTACTGCTAGGTAACAGGGGCATAGGGTGAAAGAAACTCTACCCATTGTTTCTCGCCGGCGCCCGGGATCGAACCCGGGACCACAAGATCACAAGTCCAGCGTGCTGTCCGCTCGGCCGACCAGCCCCCAATATTGTTGAGATGGCAACAACTGCTAGAGAGATGCTGGAGTATGCACCACCAGCCTGGAGCCCCCTCCACAAACAAGGCACAATCGAAATATGATAACGTATGTTTTCTACAACGCTGGACCCATATATGAGGGGACTGAGCTACGGGGATAGACTGAGGAGATAAACCTGACAGAACAGGATGATACAATGAAGAGGGAGTTCAAGTTTAGTTTTTTTTATTATGCACCCCATGCTCATCCTGTGGGCGGTAGTGGAAAGGGTTACAGAGGCACATAATGGGCTCAGGGACTGTTATGTGCCTCTGTAACTCTTTCCACTGACGCCCACAGGATGGGTATGGGGTGCCCATCTTATGTAATCTCACATACCCATTGTACCTTCTTGCAAATAAATATTATTATGATGATCATCGATATCAAATCTCTCTTGTTTCGTCTTTCATCTTGAGTGTCGACTTTGAGCTCGCTCAGCCACTTTAGCCAACTCACTACACACTACACTCTACACACTACACTACTTACTACACACTACTTACTACACACACACTTTAGGCGAGTTCCCTCAGTTCTGGAACAAGTCTTGTCGCATATCTCTGTATTTTTTTAGCTTTATATGTATTTATTGGGTGGGGGCTTTACAACGGAGCTTCATAGTCAACGGCTGGTCTTACGTTGGTTGTAAACTTATAAGTGCTTCTTTCTCTAGATTCCTGAAGGCTACTCAAATACTTACCTGCGTTAAGTATTCTGTAGTTATAATTTTGTTAATGTGTACTTCAGGCGCTAAGTTATGTGATATACTTCCAAATTTTTATTTTTGTTCTGGTTCTAAATAAAGTAGTAAAGTTAGCTTCGTTCTCGACTCACGGTCGTGGATTCCGGTTTCGACTCTCGAACGAGACAGAAATGGTTGAGTACGTTTCCTTTCATCTAATGGACCTGTTTACCTAGCAGTCAATAGGTATTTGGGAGTTAGACTTCTGTTGTGGATTTTATCTTGGTGAAGGCCAAGATATCGTTAAGTTTTAAGTGAAATCTTCTTTTAAACCACTGTATTTTAATGAAACTGTGTCATTATTTTCAAGCAACCATAAATAATATACAATTGAAGCCGCATCCAACAAGCGGAAGATGGCTTTAACGTATGCAGATTAAGTCTGTAATAATAGCGTAGTTAACCTTGAATATATTACGTCCTCTGGTATTTGCCGTAATAGAAAACCTAAGTATTTTGATGGGTAACTTGTTCTGATGTCTGTTAGGAATTAATATATATTTTTTTTGAGATATATACAAGAGTGGTTACATTCTTGTACAGCCACTAGTACGCGTAGCGTTTCGGGCAGGTCCCTGGAATACGATCCCCTGCCGCGAAGAATCGTTTTTTCATCCAAGTACACATTTTACTGTTGAGTTAAACAGAGGCTACAGTTAAGGAATTGCGCCCTGTAAATCCTCCCCGGCCAGGATACGAACCCATGACATAGCGCTCGCGGAACGCCAGGCGAGTGTCTTACCACTCGCCACGTATGTAGCACTCTTTATTTTCTTTTTCGAGTCTATGGGTCCCTACAAATACACCAAAGGTGGTACACCTGTTAGCATTCATATATTTTTTTTTATATATACAAGAGTTCTTACATTCTTGTAAAGCCATTAGCACGCATAGTATTTCGGGCAGGTTATTAATCCTAATTTCCTCACGAATACGACCCGCTAAATCATTTAGCAACCAGGAACCCATTCACTGGTGGGTGAACAGAAGCTACAAATAAGGATTGGCGCCCAGTCAATCCTCCCTGGCCAGGATATGAACCCAAGTCAAAGTGCTCGCGAAGCGCGAGGCGAGTGCTTTACAGCTGCGCCATGGGGGAATGCATAATACTCATAATTTGCAGTCTCCGTGGTGTAGTGGTAAGACACTCGCCTGGCGTTCCGCGAGCGCTATGTCATGGGTTCGTATCCTGGCCGGGGAGGTTTTACTGGGCGCAATTCCTTAACTGTAGCCTCTGTTTAACGCAACAGTAAAATGTGTACTTGGATGAAAAAACGATTCTTCGCGGCGGGGATCGTATTCCAGGGACCTGCCCGAAACGCTACGCGTACTAGTGGCTGTACATGAATGTAACAACTCTTGTATATATCTCAAAAAAAAAAAAAAAAAAAAAAAAAAAATAATAATAAATAATATATTATTAATTATAAGAGTGGGGTTTTCTCATATATTATTATGTCTATGATAAGACATTATTATTATTATTATTATTATTATTATTATTATTATTATTATTATTATTATTATCTAATTAATTAATGGAGTATTATAACGTATTATTACATTTTCTTATCACCTAATTTAGTTTTTAATCACTACACATTTTAGTCAAAGTTTTTATTTTTATTAACAAACTTAGGTATACACAGCAATGTGCTGCTGCCCTATTTTATATGAAAGATTACACAGTGTAGATTAAAAAAAAACTAGCTATAAGTTCAAGCAGCACATTACTGAGTTGGTAAGCTTGTTAATAAACAAAAACATTTAATATCTCCACCTCACAGTATGGTTAGTCATACACGGAATCAGGAAAAGGGAACTATCGGGGAAAAGTGCAAAGCCATTACGACTATATAGCACTGGGAAGGGGTCAGGATAAGGATAAGGGATGGGACGGGAGGAAGGAATGGTACCCATGCCAACCACTTGGACGGTTGGGAATTGAACGCCGACCTGCAGGAAGCAAGACCATCGCTTTACCGTCCAGCCCAAGTGGTTGGGGAATCAGGAGAGAGCATGAAATGTAAGGCTGAGTCACCTCCACTAACAAAATCTGGGTACAGCACAAGAATATGTAAATCCATTATTCTATATTACTTATTATCTCTTAAAGTAATAATTTTAGTTAATACTAAAACTACCTGTATTACATTTATTCATATATTATGCACCCCACACCCACCTTCGGGACCAAAGAGCCTATAAGCTCAAACCCCGCAAGCACAACTAGGTGAGTATAGTGAAAAGGGTTACAGAAGAACATAATGGGCTCAGGGACTGACCTCAAAATTCATTTAGCTAAGCAACTTGCAGTCTTCATGTGCTGGTTACAAAATGTAATGTATATTGTTACATCATCAATGGGTTTGAGACCAACCACAAGTACGGTCTCTAAGCTAAAGAAAATAATAAGAAATTATATTCCCACTCAGTTTTGGACCGTTGTTGGTTTTGTACTGTTGGTTGCGATGACTATCGAGGACTTCAATCTGCCCGAAACGCTGCGCGTACTAGTGGCTTTACAAGATTGTAAATACTATGCTATGTATTCTCACAAACCCAATGTACCTTCTTGTATATAAATAAATAAATGCTTTCTTGTAAAATCTGTCTGTAAAATAAATAAATCTGTCTTTCTTGTGACATATAAAACTCTTACGTTTATTAAGGAATCTGCGTGAAATAGGCATGGTTCTGAGATGAATGCTGCGGTTTTCGAGTTTGACGAGCGATGAAAACTGCCACTTTTATACAACTACAAATATCTTCGGTTTTACTTAAAATATTTGTCTGGTAGAGGTTTTACATATAGATGGCGTTTCTGTCTTTCTTCTGACTAATAAATAATTTTGGTTTAATCAGTTATCAAGATGTTTTCAACAATATTCTTTCAGCGTTCGTCTTTTCCAACTTGGGCGACCCTTTTGGAAGCGCGATACTTGGGTTAACCCATCCTATAGTTGGGTCTGTTTCCAACTGGGGTTCGAATGGATACAACAGCGCAATAGCTGCCCCTAACCCAACACCAACAACAACGCAATAGCTCGCAGGACAGGAGGAAGGAGGAGTATTTAAGAGTGTGTTGTTGGAGAGAGGTGTCACAGGAGAGCCTGTGATGGGTGTCAGCGTGTGTCGTCCTTACCACTACGTCTTGGTCACCGCGAGAAGCGAGGCATCGCGGGACTAGTATTGTGGTGTGTTCTTATGGGTGCTGCTGTTAGGTGGTTGGGGAAGTGGTAGCTGGTGTAACGAAATTCTAACCATTTAAGGCCCAGTTTGTAGTTTCCCACCTTTTAGTCTTGTATATAAAATACAAAATGTTATCTTCAATGGGTTCGGTTCAGCTAGGTTAGCTTTATTTAAAGTGTTGTGATGACATAGGTCATACTTTTCTCAGGTCTTATACCCTACTTACTCAAGATTTAATCCACAACAATTACCTAACTCCCATTTATTTATTTGCTAATGGTGAACAGAGGCATCAGGTGAAGTGAGACATTCCCTAATGTCTCATGAAGTGGGACCGTTATTTTTTTTTGTGTGATTTAACAACTTGGGCTGGACGGTAGAGTGACGGTCTCGCTTCATGCAGGTCGGCATTCAATCCCTGACCGTCCAAGTGGTTGGGTACCATTCCTTTCCCCCGTCCCATCCCAATTCCTTATCCTGACCACTTCCAAGTGCTATATCTCCTACCTATATATATATCGTTACAGTCTCCGTGGTGTAGTGGTAAGACACTCGCCTGGCGTTCCGCGAGCGCTATGTCATGGGTTCGTATCCTGGCCGGGGAGGATTTACTGGGCGCAATTCCTTAACTGTAGCCTCTGTTTAACGCAACAGTAAAATGTGTACTTGGATGAAAAAACGATTCTTCGCGGCAGGGGATCGTATTCCAGGGACCATAGGATTAAGGACTTGCCCGAAACGCTACGCGTACTAGTGGCTGTACAAGAATGTAACAACTCTTGTATATATCTCAAAAAAAAAAAATATATATAGTCTAATGGCTTGGCACTTTCTTCTCGTAGTTCCCTTCCCTTAACTGTGCTAATGATGTGATTTTTTTTCAGCTAATTAACTGTAATTTTTTTATTAACAAATTTAGATTTACAGCACAGTCTCTGATCATTATAAAGGATTCCAGAGTTAGTCAGAAACAAATATCCCTAACATGCATGATGATTTGTCATACATAGGAGGTGGGTTTAGTTTACTCGCATGCACCATTAAACTTCGAGTGGATTGTGAGGGATTTCTTTTAATATCTGCGAGGGATTGAAGGGTCTCTAGTACAGTCTGGGTCATTCTAGACGCACAATCAAGAATTCCGGGTTTCAATCTCGGGCAGGACAGAAATGGTTGGGTACATTTCCTTTCACCTAAATCCTCTTTTCACTTAGCAGTAAGTAGGTACTCAAGAATTAGTTAGCTTGTTGTGGGGTTGCATCATGTGAATTATCTTTATTAAATACTGTAGTTACAAATTTTCAGGTATTTTGCCATTTGTTATAAATCAGTTATAGCTTCATATTCACTAATACTGTATATTATTGAAGACTGTTTCCTCTCTTTCACAGGGTTTAAAATTGGAGTGCTTATTGTTAGTTATCTTTTACAGCCCAACCAATTGGGCTGGACGGTGGAACAATGGTCTCGCTTCATGCAATTCGATATTCAATCCCCAACTTTCCAAGTGGTTGGACACCATTCCTTCTCCCCGTCCCATTCCAAATCCTTATCCTGATCAAGTTACACAAAGTTGTAATGGCTTGGCACTTTCCCCCTGATAGTTCTCTTCTCTTCCTGTTACCTGCCATAAGTAGTCATATCTTGACCTAATTCTGACAACTACTATATGACAGTGGTGGATATCTTGTGCTATCCATATATGTTGTTTTTAGTTCTAAACAGAACTTGGTTCTCATTACTAGTACTAGCCTAGTACTGTCCACCATTTGTGTGTGTATGATTTCTCTTTCATTGGGCCCAATTTTTTATAGTAGTATGGTTTTTACAATTAAGTCTAGGATGCCTATGTATGATTCAATTTCATGGGTCTTACATGCACTTTAACTACTGTGTCTGTGTCATCCTATTGGGTAATATCTATGTGAAATGGTTTCCATGCAAAGGAGATTCTAAAACTCATTTATAATTACATTCAAAATATCTATTAGTCTCTTTGAAAATGGTATTACAATGACATAAATATATGGTAATTGAAATATAGAATAAAAGGTATTCAGAGAAAACCTTGCAGATTCTCCCTGAACACTTTAGTATTTTCTTCTCCTACCACCCCCTACTTTTTTTTTATTATTTTATACAATGTAATTTATTTATTTTATTACATTGTATTAAAGTTTACAGAAAACACACATTTATAGCAGCCACTGGTTAAAACCCCTATCCAACTGTATTAATCATTTGTATTCTTTCCAGACAATGCTGTCTCCAGATGTTCCTGAATTTATACCCAGAGGAATTCATACATCAGCTGCAAATATTGGTTCAGACAGTTTAAAAAATGTAACATGTATACCTGCAAGAGATTTGGTGTATCCCCGGCAAAATCCAAATTATGTACATAATGTTCCACAACAGCACCCCAGATCACAGCCAAATCATACACATGATGGATATGGCAATTGGAGGCAAGCATCCACAAATGCCTCACCAAGGGAAAGAGGTGAAGCATTTGGAAGGCCCAAACTTCACAGATATGGGAATGCTGTTAGACATAACAGTGTTGAGGAATTCAACCCAGAGGCTAGCAGTGACTATCCCTCTCACAGAGCCAGTAATTGGAGGCAAAGTTGGTGGTCCAATGATAGTTCGCCTGATAAAAGTACAAAAAGCATGAGCAGAAACAAAAAATATAATAATTTTTCTGCAGAAAATCAACCTGAAACAAGTCAACAAAAACATAACATAAGGAAAGGAAGAGGTGGATCACAAGGAAGGCAGAGCAATGATCACAGCACAGAAAACAATCTTAGACTTATGATGCAGGTAGAAAAACATTCTATTCATGTGCCACTTACTACAAGCTACAAAGGTAATATAAGCTATGGGAAAGTACTGAAAGGTAGTAGTAATGTCTTGCAGGAGTCAAAATCAGAGACTCGCTCTGGTGTAGGTCTGCTTCAAGATGACCAATGGCCCTCACTCGGTGATACTCGTTCTGAAGTCATTCCTCGGATCAAGAGAGATTTTCACTTGAGTAATTCCCCAAATCAGAGTAACAATTTGTCATTGAAAAAGAGTGACATTTTGGTCAAAACTAATTTAACTGAAAATGCATGGCATGTTAAAGTGATCAGTAACACTGCTCAGAAAAATATTGAAGATAAAGTTTTGGAAAGAGAGGTGTGTAAAAATGTGTTGCTAGATACCCATTCTAGTAAAAACCAAGATATTAAAGGTTTTAATGAATTCAGTGATTCAAAGGCTGTGCACCACAACCAAAATGAGCCCAATTCAAAAATCAAGAATGAATGGCGTTTTTCTGCCGAGGCAAATATTTTGCCTGAGAAGACAGAATATGACACAGGAAGAAAGGATGCCCTTGATAGTTCTGCAAATCCAGATGATTATAATATAGGTAATGACCTTAATCCAAAAGCTGGAACGACGGATCCTTTTCAGTGGCAGGTCAAGGGAGAGAGGAAAAAGCCAACTAAGAATAAAGACTCGCATGATCAGGCCGATAGGTTAACAATGCCAGTGAAAAAAATCGTCCACAAAGATGATAGCAAAAGAGGGAATGGTTCCAAGCCATGTAATACAGGACCTAGTGTTAGAAAAAGGATATTGAAAGAAGAATCTGAAAAGTACAAAAATAAAAATGTAAAAGACTCTTCTCACATAAATAAATTTAGTACAAATAAAATTTACAAAAGAAAAGAAAACAACGAGAGTAAAGAAACTGTGACCAATTTAGATGAGGCAGCGAGACAAGTTACTCATGAGAAAACCGGCAATAAAGAAAACCATGGACAGGTTCTAAAGGATGGTTGCGGTGCAGTTGCCTCTGCTTCAAGGCATTGTGATGCAAATGAAATTGCAATTTCCACAGAAAATGCAAAAGATTCTATTTTACAGGATCAAAAAAAGCCACTTGATGAACACACCATGCAAAAAATTTTAGAATTGAGGAAAAGGCGAAAGGAAGAAAAGATGAGGAAAAAGGAACAGAAACTTAAGAAAGCTCGTGACCTAATGACATCAGATTCAAAAGTAAGAGTCATTACAAAGGATTTTTTGGAGGCAACCCTTGCTGGTAATAACAGTAATAAGCGATCTGCAAAATTATCTGTTTCCCATAGTCCAGACTTGAAATTATCTAGCGAAGAGTATCCAACTTTATCTTTCAAGAGTGCTATCACTCCAAGAACAGTATCTGACAAAGGTTCACATAAAATATCCACAGCTGAACGCATAACACGAATAGATGCCTTGTCTGAATCTGAACACAGTAGTAGTAGTGTTAAAGTAGATTCACGTATATTGACACAGCCCAGTGGGGTGTTGCAAGTGGTAAACAGTGAGCAGAATGATTGTACATCACCAGCAGATACTCCTAGTTACAGCGGAGCACTTTTGGCCCCCAAAAGGGTTGCAAATTTAAAAGTACCTTCTCAAGAAGTGGGAGAAAAAGATGTTTCAGAGGTCAGTTATACTGCCCTTCAGAAGAAAAAGGTAAAGACCAAGGACCTCATTGAATTAGACATAATGGCTGCTGCTTTGCAGTCAAAGAAAAATAAAAGAAGAGATAAACTTCGTACAGAACAGGTAATAAAATTGACTCTGTATGCACACAATCTTTTAAAATATGTTTATAAGTACAGTATGCTATTAATAAAATACAAAGATTTGATTATGTCAGTAATTTTGTAACTGATAAAGTAGCTTTTGTTTTTCTCTCACTTCCACATATTGTATTTGCCTCACTCTGAGAATATTTGCACAGGAAGCGGCAAGACGTGCAAATGCCTCAAAATCAACATCATCAGATAAGCACATTGGCTCTCCTAGCAAAAATGTACGTGGCACTACTGCACCATCACACACTACTAAGGTAAAGATAATTTTTTGTTTTTATATCACTGGTTAACTCTTACTTGGAATAATGCCTTCCCTTTCAATGCAGACAAAATATTCTTAATAAAAGGTATACTGTTCAGAGATTGTTTGTTGTGGAATCCTTGTAAGGTCTCGATATCACTTTCACTTACCACTATACCATAGATCTTAGTGTTATCTGCAAATTTGATGATGTGTTTATAATATTCTCATTATGTCATTGATGTATATGACAAACAGAGTTGGCTCCAAAAATGGACCCCTGTGGCACCCCCACTTAGCACATTTCCCCAGTCAGATTTATTCCCATTTAGCATGACCCTTTGTTTACTTTGTTTTTACTATTGTTTATGTATCTAATGTGTACCCTTAAGCAGCAGTGTCTTGATATAGTGTTTTGTAATAAAACTGGTACCTTTTATTAGTATAAAATAATTTGCTTGGGGAATTAACCCTAATTGTGCTAAACAGTCTGTGTTGGATAACCAAGACTGCCTCAGTTAATCGAATCAACTCAGTGTAGGCAATGTTAAGGCACTTGCCGCTGGAGACACGTCAACTCCAGAAGTCCTTGAGTGTACAATCCATGCTTAGATCACCTGCTATTTTGTGATCATGTCATCCAAGGTCAGCAACAGGTGACCTGACCCAAACTTATAATGTACTTCTAGATGAATATTATAGCACATTTAACGATACTCTAATTAAAGCTCAGAAACAGGCTGTACAGTACTGTATTTTATAAGATTTATATAAATCTTGAGATTTCGATTTATGTTTTCTTGTTATGCTTATCTCAAATTTTGTGAATTTGTCCAGGTGAAAGTAGCAGCACCTCTGAAACGTGGAAAGCAAAGGGAAGGCAAGCAGAAGAAGAAAATATCATGCCTGAAGAAGTGTATGAAGAGAGCTCGTCAGGCAGAGATGGAAGCACTCTTATCAATACTTCAGGGTGAGTGCATCAGTAAAGAAACTGATTGGGAAAAAAAATTAGTGCTGAGGATTTTCCATTAGTGGGATAGTGTTTCTAATTATCTGTGCCAGATAATCAGAAACAACTTTATGTACCACCTTATTGGTCATCACCCTCAGAGACCATGCTAGAGTGTGCTCCATTAATTTTGGGTCTTGAGAAGGATTAATCAAACTTTGTGCTGAGAAAATGTTCGGGCAAGTGATGGGCAAGCAAAAGACATCAAAGCAAGTATGAAGTGAAGTTTGTGCAAAATGATGTACTGTAGTAAAATGTCACAAATGTGTTGTTTTTTACTGGGGTCAGGGTCAGTCAGGGGGAGAGTTGAGTGCAGGAGTGGGCAAGCTGTTTGGGGGCCACAAAGGGAGTGGAACTCGGTTCAATATCTCGTTTATTTACAATGCTAATCATTTTAAATTTTTTATGGAATCTGACCCTTTGTAACATTGCTCATCCTGTCATTATGCTCTTTCTTTTGTGTTTATATCCTGAATGATACTTGGGAACTCTTGAGCATTAGGTAACACAGATGGAGCATTACAGCTCTCCAGGCTCAGCACCTTTTGATAATTACTTAACCTTTTATGGATTGAATTTCAAAGTCCGTGTTTGACAAGAATATTCATAAATGCCGCTTTCCTGAACCCTTCCAAATGCATTTATTTAAGCATACTGTATCCTTAAATATTACCTATTAAAGGTAATATAATATTTGTGAGGTATAGCCTATTCACAAGAATTCAGATACTGCATGTGATTCAATACCAGGAAGGAATGCTTCATATTCTGCCATGGGAATGTGGTTTAAGAGATTTTATATAGTTATTGGCATGCAAAATACAGGTGTAAGGATATTTTGGCTGCACTGTGGCCCAAATGGAATTCAAACTGAGGCAGGGGAAAAGTCCCTTATTATTAAAATAATTAATAATTCAATGTGTTGGGGACAGGAAGCCAGAGTGTATTCATTCACGTTAGGCTTATATCGAGGTTCCCCCCCCCCCTCAAAGTCAAATTACTGACTCCGCCCAGGATGCAGCCTGCTTGATGGGGTTCTGGGAGTTCTACTCCCCAAGCCCGACCTGAGGCCAGGCTTGACTTGTGAGAGTTTGGTTTACTGTACCAGGCTGTTGCTTGGAGCAGCCCGCAAGCCCACATACACAGCCCCACAACAAGCTGACTAACTCGTGAGTACCTACTTACTGCTAGGTGAACAATTGCATTAGGTGAAAGAAAATGTGACCAACCATTTCTGTCCCACTTGGGATTCGAACCCGGAATTCTCGATTGTGTGTTGAGAACGAACCCGACTGTACTGCCGGGACCCTGAAAGATCATTTTAAACATCATAACATATTTCCAGTAGCACAGTGGGCTATGACCTCACAACCTGGGTTCAATCCCAGGGCAGTAAAGAATGGTTGGGCATGCTTTTCTCCTGATATTGTACCTCTCTGCATCTAGCAGTAAATTGAGTACCCAGGACTTAAGCAACTGTTGTGGGTTGCATCCTGGGGGAAGGTTTGTAGTTGCCCAAGGAGGACATCAATATGCTTAAGGAAAGACTTCCTGTTCCCGGACAATAGGAATTAATGAATTAGCTGTAATACGTAAACCATGTACGAAGGGTTAGTATTAATCTAAGTTTTTGTAGATTTGGCCAGTTAATGAAAGAAGTTTTATTTATAATTTTCTGCACCACTTTTCAGTATAGTGTATATCACGAGTTTCAATGTCCATGTACAGTAAAAATGCATCGTCAGTTATCGTAAAGTAAATCTTACAGGATCACACAGTTATTTATTAAACCTTACAATGCCACATATGTGCAAAGCATGTGTTATAGGTAATGTAAAAATCACTTGTCTAGGTTATTTTGATATATGGGCTTATAATTTAACTTTTAAATTAAAAAATAAATAATTTTGCAGTATTCTGTGTATTAAGTAAATACTGTTTGTTTTTTAATAAATAGCATTTATTTGAATTATAATACTTTGTAATATCTTTCATTATCAGAAGCCAAGAAAGCTCAAGAAAGATCAGCTTTTCCAGATAAGCAAGAAATTAGACCTCCACTTTCATCTCTTGTAGATTTAGAGGTGACAGTGGCAGGTACAGCGTCGTCATGCCTAGAGACGAACAAGGAATTGAGAAGAATGGCTGCTGCATTAGATATAGCTAGTGCTGGTGCAGCACCCACAAATGAACTGAAAGGGGATAAAGTAGGTACAGAAAATGTCAGCAAGACTATTGATGAGGAAAAACATAATGACTTGAGAAATACAGGTATGTCCTCTGACTCGAGTTCTAATGAGGAGAGCGACAAGAAACGTGCAAGTGTTGTAATTGGTGCATGTGAACGGTATCAAGACATCTTAGATGGGAGATCTGAGGCAGAAACACAAGGTGTTATAAAGAAAAATGATGAAGTGATTGGGGGAAAAGAATTAGCTTTGGCAGGAAAGGAAAAATCTGATCCAACTCATATTGAAAGACTTGTAAATATGGCAGGATCTTCAATAACGGCAAAAATTATAAACAATTTAGAGTTGGAGAAAGATAACACAAGGCAAGAGAAAATTGAAGCTAAGGAAATGATGCCTGCAGTTCAGAATATTCTTGGCAGCTGTAGTGATCCAGAGAGATCTAAAACCCTATCTATTTTTGCAGAGGAGTTAAGAGCCCTACAAAATCCTATTCATAAGAAAAAATTTAGAGAGTAAGTATTTTAACATACAGTATTTATTTTGTTTAATGATAAAGAGTGTCTGGTAAGTTTGGAATTGAAAGTTGTTCAATTAATATTCATATTTTGAAGGCAAACTAAATAATTTCATGTATGTTTACTCTAAAGACATTGCAATTATTCAGAACTGTTCATTATTACACTTTTCTTCAAAGTATCAGTTTACTAGCAGTGTCCTGTTGTTTGGTATGTTATTTTTCTTCCATGCTGTCTTCTGAAGTTTAGTGACCCTAGTGAATTATCTCTTCCATGTTGTCTTCTGAAGTTTAGCGACCCTAGTGTGTAATCTCTTCCATGACAAATAATGTGATATATTCCCATAATCTTCCCCATTTAACTGTTCAGTAATAGAAAATAAGAATCGCACTCATCCCAGATATGTCTCGGCCACACGAGGCAAACTCACGCACTTAATGGAATGCCTACCTATCCAATATTGTATGAATTGTATTGTTCTGATTTTTTAGATCAGAAACTTGTTTCCCAACTGTTCCTCTAAACTAAATATTTCTTGTTGTTGATATTCTCTGACTTTCCTAGTACTGTAGTGTATAACCACACTGACTTGGTACTTATGATAATTACATATGTGCACCCATTAACACATAAATATACACACATTGCTATATTTTTGCAGGTACTGTGACCATGTCATCACTGCAGATGTAGATAGGGTCACTCAAGAGCTGGTGGAAAGTTTAGTGAGATTCCAGGAGCGTCACTATCAGCGTGATCCTTCTAAAGCTCGGATTAGGTAAGTTACATTTTAGGGTATATATTTGTGCTTTCCGAAGGGGCCAATTTTGTGGTAGAATTTTATAACTGATATTCTTATTACAGACTACATGAGGGTACTTGGTGGTGGCCAGGTCGACCCTCTGCCCAGGCCTCTCCCAAACACCCCAGGTCTTCCCCACACTCGCCCTTCCCATCTTTCCCCAGACACACCCTCGTGGTCTCTCCACTCAAACACCTTCCCCCATCTCTCCATGTCAATATAAACATCTTCACACACACACCCCTCCTTCTGCATCAACACATCCTCCCAGTATCCGCCACTCAGATTATTTCTATCTTCTACAACATACATCCTCCCTGTCTCCCCTAACCCCACTCACCCCTAACTGTTTCCTCCACCCTCCACACACCTCTCCCTGTCTCCTCCACCCCCACACACCTTCCCTATCTACTCCTACCCCCACACACTTCCATGTCTACTGAACAAATCCACAAGGGCCATGATGTGGGTCCGAACTTACGCCCGGGATGATCCCAGACACTGCTTTAGTCAACTGCGCCACAACATGGTTAAAAGAATTGCAACCGGGAGTTCTACTGACCTCACTCGGATCCTGCAGCCTCTCCGAGACACAAACCAGGGTTTGACACAATTCCCCCATGCACTCGGGTTCTGTCAACAAGCTGTTCTACCTCTTCGTCCTTGCTTCAATACACAGGAATCACAATAGCGTGATACATCAAATGAACGCTATTGTGATTTATGTGTGTGTCCCTGTCTACTCCTACCCTCCCTCTCTTCCCCGTACCCCTAAAGCACCCTCCCCCATCTGTATACTGTAGATAGATTATTGAGTCAGATATATTTCAACCCATCCTCTCACCTAATGTCTCATTTGTTTCATAACAGACCAAATTGTAAAAAAAGGCCATGTATTAGACAAGATTAAAGCACTGTAATACTATACTAACATTTTATGTGTATCGACCTTGATAGATTAGGCGAGTTTCTTGGGTTCATACATTTCTTGTTAGGCTAAACAGTTGCATTTGTTACAAAGTGGCAAATTGAGAGACCGGGCTGATTATTTGACTTTTGCCATTGCAACGGGATTGCAACTGATCTTATGAGAGTTGTTTAGATCGTGACTTTGGTATACCATTTCTTAGCCTTGTGCTTTCCCTCTCAACTGGACTCTGGTGAATTCAAAACCATTCAGAACTTTGACTGTTATACTGTAGTTATTATAGCCTAATATATAGCCTAATATACAGTAATTTCATCAATATTAACTCATTTTCTATTTGCAAAAAAAAAAAAAGAACAATATTTGGCTAAATGTACTCAAATATTAATTTATTTGATATCCCTTATGCCTTCATTTCTTGTTCTATCTATCCTATTAATAAAAAATAACATCAAACGTAATATCTATTAATATATATAAAAAGTCACACATCATTACACCAATAACTCTTGTATATGCTTTACCTTTTTTACTAGAATAGTTTACTTCCTGAATATAATGTCATTTGCAAAATATAATGACATCTTACTAGATTGATTTTTATGAATTCACTCTTGAAAATGCTTTTCAGGAGAAGGTTTGTGTGTGGCCTTAAGGAGACGACCAAACTGATGGGGAAAATGTCGTGCATTATAGTGGCTCCTGATATTCAAAGAAGCAAAGGGCCAGGTAAATTATAGTGTTGTATCAGGCTTTGGTTAACTGAATCCAACAGATTAGTGATTCATTTGAAGCGGTAAAGGTTACTACCCGCCAAACACACACACACCGAAACTACGACGCTGGTACAACGTTCGAACAAGTTTTAACACCTCCTAACCAGTTATAACAACCAGTATAGCAAGTTGTAACAACGTTCTGATATGTCATAGACACGTTAAGCCAAGATGTAACAACTTTATTATAAGTTGTAACAAGCGGAAAATAGAGACAGTTTCGGTTTGTGTTTCCAGGGTACCCTATAAAGTCAGCTCTTAGTGATAGTATTGGGAATCGCTTCAAAATGAGTTCAGCCGTTGTAACGATTTGTTTAAGTTGTTACGGAAATAGTTCTTTACTCTGTATTTGAGAACTGTAATGATTTTAAAATCATTGATAAATGTAGATTCTAAATCTAAAGCTAATTCTTGAGCATGCAGTTTATAATTACAGATATTTCTTATTATGTTGTTATTGTGACTTTCGTAGGTGAATAATTTACTGTAATTTTGTGTAAACGAATTCATCTATAAGTGTACAAAATGAACATTTATGAATAATGTATTTAAATTTAAATTTCATGTGTTTGAATATATGTAATAGTTCATATACCAGAGGTAGAAATGCATTTATGTAAATTCAGAATACCTTAATGGAGAGGCATAATACACTTGCATGTGCATGAAAATGCACATATGCAATTTTGTGATTTTTTACATTGACTTACCTCTAAATTTGTACAGTATTTTAATGGATCCAAGATATCTTCTGTTCTTTTCTGTAACTTATATGTTGACCGGACATGACAGGTGCCTTGGATGAGGTAGTTGAGAAGATGCTTGGCCAAGCACGTAGCCACGGTGTCCCAGTCATATTTGCTCTCTCCTGTAAACGTCTTGGTAAACTTTGCCTTAAGAAGGTCCCTGTGAGCTGTTTTGGTATTATCAATTATCAAGGTGCTCAGGTAAGATATTTATTAACTGTTTACTTATTATAGAAGCCCTTGGAATATTATGAATTAAGAGTTCATACATGATTTTGTACAGGTACTGTATTTGTGTACATGTGGAATGGTGTACATATTGATGCTTAGTATCAATATTAGTATTAGTATTACGCTCACCCCCTAAAGTACTACAGCCTACACTAAGCACACTTAAGCATCATTTATTTTGTATATATAAATAAGTCTTTCCTCTGTATGCACTTATTGACATCTTTTGAAGCCAAAATTATTTTGTATTTCTCACATAAAATCTTGATATATTCTTGTAAATTTAAATTTGTAATTTCCTGTGAGCAGGAAATTACTGCTTTATTAATGAGTTATATTTGGTTCATCCATACCTGCAGATATGTTCACCTTCAGTAGGAGGAATGATTTTGTTGATGAGATCCCTACTGTGCTACATTTTTGATTTTTAGTTGTTTAAGTGTAACTACTCATTTGTTTAGATTCTGTCTTTGTTACTTGTTCTTAGTGCTGCAATCTTTCTCCTTTTTCTGGACTGGACCTCAGTATCTCCCTGGTGCATTGGCTCTGGTACCACAGAGGCATTCACAAACTTTCAGGCTTCTGCATATGTGCAGGCCTACTCAACTCCGGACTAGAATCTGGTGTTCTCATAGAAGACAGACAAGGCATAGAAATTCGTGATCGATCCAGATTTGTGAAATTGCTCAAAATATATAGGTGAAGCAAAGCAAAATATGTATTTTTGTTTGGAGAGAGAGAAAAGATGGAAATATGGGAAATGGTAATTTGCCCAATGTCAACAAACTATGTGTTAGTCCTCAAATTCCAGGGTGACAGTTTGAGTCAATCAGGAGTCCATTCTGCCTGTCTCCTCACTCACATGCTTAGTACCAAATGCATACTACTCTTCACGGATCGATACTGTTTTCTGGAGAACCCCTCTGGCTGCCCGGAGCCATACCGGGCTGATATGTATCTAGTAGACTGTGGCATCAGTCAATTCGAATGGAGTTCTAGCCTACTGGGACCATGAGCCAGAACCTAGCCCCCTCAGAGAGGCACAGGGAGCAGTGGCCTATAGAAACCCCCATGTGGTTGGAAGCATTCTATGTCTGCCATCTACCGGGTTAGGTACTAAGAAAGGTAGGCGTTCCAAAACAAACCCAACTGGTGAAACATTGCTACCGAAAACCGAACTACAAAGCAGAACTCCCCAATCGAAAACAAGCAAACAAGCATGACGTCACACCCACCGCCGTGCCGCCTATTTGGGAGGGGGAAGGGAGAGCCCCAGACCCTGCATTGGTTATCCACCCTCAGTTCAGAGGCTGAATATAAAAAGTTCACGTTCTCATTCTTCCTTCACCTCTACGAAAGCACCAGATTTTGATTTTGGTGTTAGGTAAGCCTGCAAATCCAGAGGCCTGATAGTTGTGTGAATGTGAGATACCAGAGCCAGTGCACTAGAAACCACTGATGCCTCTCAGAAAATGGCAATTTATTGTATTGAACAATTGATTATTATTTGTTCAGTTTAAACATATGCTGAGATTTAGGTAATTTCTAAGATAGTGATCAGTGGATTGTTATTTATATCCAGCCACTACTGTACTTGTAAGAAGTGGCATATGTAGTGTTTTAAAGTTCATAAGATGTGTTTTAATTGTTAATATTGACAGTGTCTTTTATTTTCTATATTACAGGACAGTTTCCAGGTATTGATGCAGTTGGTACCAGAAGCCAGGAAGCAGTATCAGGAGTTAGTTGCATGTGGTAATCGTTGTGTACCAGTGGATGATGAGGATTCTGGCAAAGAGGCTGAGCCAGCAAAATTAGATATTAGAGACGAAGTAATTGCTAAAACATCAGCAATTATTTCTGTTACAGACGAATAAAATGTAAATTTTATTGTGGATAGTAAGTTTTCTTATGTTACATATATTTAACTATATGCTTTGACTACCGCCCATCCACTTGAGTTGGATGATAGTGCAACGGTCTCGCTTCATGCAGGCCGGCATTCAATCCCTGACCATCTAGGTGGTTGGGCACCATTCCTTTTTAAACGGAATGAATGATAATTTGCTGTTCTCGAGTTACAATGGTTTTTTAATATGATCTGTAAAATTCTCAAAATATATAATTTTTTGTTTAATGGAAGAAACACAAATGTTATTATGCAAAACAGTTAAATGGCTAGCTGCCTGTAAGTTCAAGTCAGAGAACCATGGCAGCTACACATGTATTTGTGTGTCTTTATCTTGAAACATGTATGTGTTAGAGCAGTCCCTCAGTCTAGTATGTAAATGTTCCAATGTAAAGTGTGTAAGTGATGCAGAGGATACCAAACTCGCCTGTGAAAAGGGCACACTAGTTATTTCATTAAATAGAACTGACATTGAGGATAATACAGCATGTTAACATTATTTTGTACAGTATGTACTTAGTAAGAATTGTAGATCATTATCATACCATAATAACTTGATTCATTTAAGTTTCATTAGTCTGAGTATATTACATTCCTCCACTGAAGTACTGTATATGTACAAATATTTGCTGTAGTGATTTTAGATATACACCAACCTCAAATGTAAATTGGAGATTAGTAAACTTCTGTAAGTTGTAAAGATGAAGTGAATTTGAGTAAGAATAAAGGGGTAAGGACAGTAAGTAGCATCGCAACTGTCATCCTTGGAGGGTAAACTGGTCGGTTTCATAGTGATCTTATGAATGGCCGAGTTTTGGTGGCTGAGCAGTGTTGATGCAAGGTTAGCCTTGTAATAAAAATATTGGTGTATGTCGAGTGGGACTGAAGTTTTGATTGTGCCATAGTTTTAACTCTTAATATTGAGTTAATTATATTTTCTTGTATAATTTTTGGGGTAATGATATTTCTTTGGTTGGATCATATTACTAATGTTATCTAAAATTACAATAACATTAGTTTACTGTATATTAACGTTAAATCACTGTTCTGTAAAATATATATATATATATATATATGTATATATATATATATATATATATATATATATATATATATATATATAACTGTATAATATAATTTTTACCTAAATTTATCTGAGGGCCACCAACACTAGTGGCCTCGATAAGGACAGGAAGCCGGCAACTTGTCAAAGGTCCCCCCATTTGCCCTGATGATCTTTACCAGCTGTATTTTAAAACCCAGCAAAGTTTTGGCATTTACAGCTTCGGCAGGTAGGTGGTTCCATGGAATTACAACCCTATGTGTGAAAAAGCATTTCCTGGTTCTGTCCTACATTGTGGTTTGTTGAGCTTGAACCCATGGTATGTATGTATATAAGTATGTAAGTATGTATGCATGCAGAAAACCCACAGAGAAATGGGAAAGAGAATACTGTACTGTACTGTATTAAATGTTTTGGCTGGTACGAGTTGGTTTTGGCTCTTCCTCAAGAACAGACGTGGGTTTTCCGCATACCAATGGTCAGTGTTTCGTGATCGTCATCAGTTACATACACAGTAAGTGTGTGTGTGTGTATATATAATATCGTTTCCTAAAATGCCTTTATATACCTCATTTATGATTGCTCAAAGCAAATTTAGAAACTAATAAGGATTATGCCAGTGAAATATGTCTTGGGAGTTATTGTGATTACCTGTGAGGGGAAAGTTGTGAAACTACAGTAAAAATCATACTTCGGATAGTGCGCATGTGTGCGTGATGCGTGATCTTCATATCTTCAAAAATTAAGCATTAAATATGTATCTATTTAATTTAGACAGTTCCTTAACCTTCCATTATTCATTTCCAGTTGATCCTTTTATTAGTAGTGAGTGAAAGGTGGAAGTATCTGTGTCAGATGTTTAGAATTCCTTTGTTGTATTTTGGAATTTAATTGTCTATAGTATCACTTAAATTCGATAGCCGTCTTGTCACTATTTTGTTACTGTAGCTTTATTCTAGAATTTTAGATGCTTGCAGAATTTTCCCACAGGCAATTGGTACAATCTCATCTTGAACATATTAAAGATGTAACTTCACATGATGGAAACATTGCCTAATAGGTACACACAATGGTTTAGACATCAAATAACCAAAGTACTGCAGTTGCCACATGCTTACCTTAAAATATAAGTGTTGGGAAAGAATTACAGGTAATGAGTACAAAAGCTTAAAAATGTGTTTTGAAAGGAAAAAAGTTGAAGTAAAAAAAAAAAAATTGTCCAAAAGTTTGTTTAAAATTTGAAGATTTCATAGACATGCTGCAGGGCGCTCTGACCTATTTCAGAAATACGTGTATGGTAATATTTCAGATGAGAACAACCGCATAAACAAGTGATGCATCTATGTCCAGTTTGGGTATATTGTATAGTAGTGTACTTCTGTGTACTGTATACTAATGCCCAATATAATACACAACTATAACCTTTCAGATGAGGATTCAGACCTAACAGTGCATTTTTCTGTTCCCGGGACATGTCATTTTTTATTTCAGATTTTTGCAGATAGGTGTTAACACCAGATTGTGATCATTAATGAGGGTGTAGTCAGTAGTAAAGGCTGTTTGTCACTTTTAAAACTATGGCTTCCATATTTGTCTGAGTTTGATCATTCCAAAAATATAGATTGTGGTGTGATACTGAAAAATATTGACCATTAATAATGTACTGTAATTATTTGATGAATATTAGAAATTAAAAAATGTATTGATTCTTAATTACATATTGTACTAAAAAAGAAGGGCAATATAATAATTGACCCAGTATTTATATTTAATGTGTGTTCTACCTTTTTTCTTTTACCTTTTCACTCAACTTTCACAAATACTACTGAACTTTGACTTTCTTTTCTGTTAAAAAATGAGCTTCGCTGCCTTTGGATGAAGAAACATACAGTACATTACTACCAGTGCACTTGCACAACATGCTCTACACTATTTCCTATTGTAGACAGTGTCAAGCACCCTACTCTGTTCAGCACCCCATACTATAGATGGTAATGTGCACTCCACTGTATGCAGTACGTCGTAATACAGAACATGCACTCCACCATGTGCAGTACCCCATACTATAGATGGTAATGTGCACTCCACTGTATGCAGTACGTCGTAATACAGAACATGCACTCCACCCTGTGCAGTACCCCATACTATAGATGGTAATGTGCACTCCACTGTATGCAGTACGTCGTAATACAGAACATGCACTCCACCCTGTGCAGTACCCCATACTATAGATGGTAATGTTCACTCCACTGTATGCAGTACCTTGTAATACAGAACATGCACTCCACTCTGTGCAGTACCCCATACTATAGATGGTAATGTGTACTCCACCATGTGTGGTACCTCGTAATAAGGAACATGCACTCTACCACCCTGTGCAGTACTTCTTACTGTTGAAGATTGCATGCACTAAAGTATAGGTGTTGTGCTTGGTTGTTTTTCTATTACTTTGCATTTATCTTTTATCTCATTAACTTTGATAATATTAGAGTGTACTGCTTATAGCTAGTTGAGGTTTCTTGGTGGGGGACAGGAGATTGGTGAATTTTACCTTAATTCTATGTGGTTTATCATTGGTTAATGATAAGTGTAATTTGCTACAAATTAAGATGCTTTATGATTTGTGCAAATTGTTTAATATATAAGATTTATATCAGTGGTGTTGATCCTTTAAGTCTTAATTAAGGCAAGATTTACCTCAGTGTTGTACTCTTAACCATATGTTAATGTGTTTTTTCTGTGTTGGAAATTGGGTTAAATTGCCATGTAGTAATAATTCAAGGTTGTGTAAACTTATATCTAGAGGTCCACGACAGTGATCTGATACTTGGTTAGTTGATCAGTCTATTTGTAGAAGATGTACACAGTTCATAATGATCACTTGTAGAACATGTTGAGTGCAATACTATACTAGTAAATGGGATAGATGACCTCATATTCTATTTGCTGTACTGATTCATCAGTACATGGTTGGATGGATGACAGGTGTAGTTTATTATATTTGTTTTCTTTTAAGATCAATGGTATGAGTTACTCGGCTGTTGTTATAATGTATTTCTTCAACAACTTAATTTGACCTGTGCCACAATTGGGGCTTTGGAGACTGCAATATACAACCGTGGGCTGCATGCATGGTGTTCAGGCTGTACTTAATGGCCTTGAAAACCATTTGTAGGACACATACTAATCATTGTCTTCTAAATTAATGTACAATATTTAATTTTTCTTTAGTATTGCATATTAATTGCTTCTGTATTAAGTTAATTACATTTGTATGTAATTACCGTACTGTACATACATTATTAATACTGTACAATATAAGTTATAATATTTTTTTAAAGAATTTAGCAATGTCATTACAAATTTATCTCATATTTCATCTATATACTGTGTGTGTGTGTGTGTGTGTGTGTATTTTATTTATATACTGTATATATATATATATATGTGTATATCACGAAAATAAACACGTGATTAAGAATGTGACAATGTCAGACCACGGAGGAAAATGAAACAGGAATTTCCTTAAGTACTTTCGTATATTAAATACATCTTCAGAAGGAATGTTGATTCCTTCTGAAGATGTATTTAATATACGAAAGTACTTAAGGAAATTCCTGTTTCATTTTCCTCCGTGGTCTGACATTGTCATATATATATATATATTTATTCTGTTTTGTGATGTTTTATTTGACTGGCCACAGTTCTGTCTATTGGATGGATGTACAGTTTTATTCAACTAGACATGAAGCTAAAATTATTGACTAGGTTTGGGGTGCTGTGAGCTTTGTTAACAACTTCACTGTTGCCTTGTGCCATTCCTAAACCCAGAGCAATTAGTTGGATTTGTGTCGGGCCTCCCAGAAAAACTACTACTTTTAGTTAAGAATTGCAATTCTCCATTTGCCTCGCATTTCTGCCCATGCCGGCCCAGACTATGCCATTTGCTATTCCATTATAGGTGTCTGTTCTATAGGTGTTCTGATCTTTAGTTTCCTGTAATCATTTTTTTTTTTCAAATTTGATGTTATTGATATTTGGCAAAAATAATCAGATCAAACTCTTGTTGTTGGTCTGTTGAGTAATAGTCCAGGTTGCAGTTTGTACTACAGTACTGTACTGGACTAGGAAATACATTTTGATGTACAGTATTATATATATTGGCTTATACTATGTTATTTTGAGAAGAAAGGAGCCCAAAAAGGTTTCAATATATGGAGAGGAATTAAATGTTGATAATTGAAAGTTAATTTATCTCTTCACAGTCCTGTGATGTCACAGATACAGTACATTAGATTCTGCTGCTAATAGGCAAAGGTTTGAGATATTTGTACTGATAAAGAGAGAGATAATGTAGGTTTATGCTGTATACATAAACACATTTAAAGAGTCAAAGCTCAACCCCCACAAGCACAATTAGGTGAGTACATTTCATATTAGAGAATAATTTCTTGTTATGGTATTGTGACAAATACAGTAATGAGTTGTGTTTCAGGGTTATTGGTTATGGGTTGTTAGATTAAAAAGACCAACTTGTGATGTTTTGGTTAGGGATATACATAATCTACTGTATTACTTATTCAGCTCTGTTAAGCTCGCAACGGTAAGCAGTGTGGATAGGATGTTTTTAAAATCAAAGACTTATTTTTTTATGGGTGGGGGGAGGGGAGAAGTCATTAAATATTTTTGTGTGAAAAGAGGTAGTACTGTATTTTAAAGGTTTTTGACAGGCTGAAATTTTAATGTTTTTATATTGGACTAATTTCACATATATTATCATTACCCTGTTTCTCATTCACTTTAATTGGGTTAGAGTAAAATAATTACATTGCAACTGTGATTGAGAAAGATTACTTGTTCTTTCTGTTTTGTTACACTAGATTTCCATAGCATGTCTTTAGAGGAATACTGTACTGCACAAGTTAGAAATTTTTATGGGTTACTAAAGAAAAAGTACTTAGAAATATGCAAAAAACCTTGTACCACTTGGGTAGTGAATGCTTGAGACTGAGCAATTTTTGTGTACTGATGTGTTATCAAACCTATTTTCCAACCTGTTCTGACAATTTGACACACATTT